ATAGAGCAGGTCAAGACCGAACTCCTTATAACATTTTACAAGAGACCCAACAGTAACACATGAGAGCAGACCTTGGGACGGTGGCAAGGGAACACTTCCTTCTAAGAGGCAGAAAACCTCGGACAGACCCGGCTCTTAGTGGTTTGGAGTTGAAAACTGTCCTGAAATAACTTCTGTTATGAATTGGTGCTATACAAATAAAATTGAATTGAAATTATTGAATTTCTCTCCACCCTTCCTGTACCCAGTATCTAATTAATAAAAGAAAATCCATAAAAAATGAAGTGAGATCACATCCAGGAAATGAATTATCAAGGCGAACAAACTCACCTCTGGTTCCACCTTGGTGGGCTGAAGAACAAAGAGCTGCAGAGCTGTGAAGACACAGTTGATCATCTTAATGTAGGACTTTGCTCTGCCTTTTTATATTCAACAATGTTAACCATGCACATTATTCTCACCATTCGATCTACAGTTACTATTCTTGGTGTAAGAAAAATGCAACTGTACCTCCGTCAAACACAGCCAGGAAAGCCAGAATGAGGAAAGGAGCTGTCTTCCCAACAAAATCATACATCACACTGCCAAATGGGGGTCCAACTGTGGAGGACATATTGGACAGTCAGTTGTGGAGATATCGATTTCATGATCATTGCAGTTACTGCAGCTTTTACGCCTACAAGACAGCTCATGTTGCAACATATATATCAGGTTAGTTTTTAAAAACTTAAATGAGAATATATTCTAAAACCATGCAATATGTGTTTTCATTTGTCTAATAATGATGGGGTAAAAATCTAGTTTCATCAATTGGCTCCATTAAGCCACAATCATTTTCAATTATTTTTACAGTGGTTGCAGCTTTGTGGTTTCTTTAAGTATTGATTAGGTATTTATGCAAATAGGCAGAAGTTATTTAATTCACAGAGGACTGGACATCTTTTTCTGTTCTTTTCTGTAAACAGATGCGTTTAGTTAATAATCTTGCATACCCAGCTTTAGACAATATGTTATGGCTGTAATGTTTTTTCAGATTAAGCGTAGTAAACATTTCACCTGTGATTTCTGTGGTAGAATTTACTTTCTAAAAATAGTAATACTTTTTATGATGCCCATGTCTATAATCATTTATAAACATATTTATAATGCCTCTGCTATACTGTGCTTATAGCAATGTATAATTATTATAAGCACTTTAATTCATAATGCTGATATGAATTGCTGGTCCACTCACTGATTCACTGGGAAGGATCATGGTGTTTCATAATTATCATAGATACATACATACATTATAATAATTGTATAATGCATCATAAAATAATCATAATGTATCACAACTATGTTTTTTGGGAAAACATTATATTAGTGAAATTTAATGTCCAATCAGTGGTTCTTATATAGCCTTCTAAGTAAGTCTATGAGGCAATTTAGACTGTTCCATATACCCACTGAGCAACAAACTTTATGAAGCACAAAGTCAAAAACTGACTGAAATCTGAGTAGTGAAATTGACAAACATTCTTGGATTGCCTGAATACATAACATGAACTGTTGCAAACCTGAGGATGATATTGGTGAAAATTTGCCCATCTAATGAACGGGTTACTGTAGTGTAGTTTTCAATAATTTGAAATTCAGCCCATAAGGGGCACCCCACAGCCATTCAACCATTTGCTTGAACATTTTTAAATTTGGAATTCAATGTATCGCATAAATGTTGTTATATGATCTATGTAAGTTTAATGGTTGTGTGTGTATGTGTATCATAGAAAGTGTTAAAGAGCTTAATAAATATGTAACAGCTCAATAAGGACCATGTATGTATACGTACCTAATACTCCCAATGCCAGACCTCCCAAGGCAATCCCGATGGCGTGACCTCTCTCCTCATCATCGGTGTACACACTTGCAAGCATCCCCATCCCTGAAAACACACAGATTATGCAATACAAACACGGCTTGTGTTTTGCATTAGCTACTATCATTGCAGTATTAGTTAATTTGGTGTCCCCCGAAATTCCACCGGGTACCTGTGGTGTGTGTGTGCGCATGGTGTTTCAGCAGACACTGTTATTTTACAGCACTGGGTAGTACCCGATTACATGTAATTGGGATTATGCAGTCAGATTACAAAAATAACTGTAAAAAATTACTATAACCAGCCCAGATTACAAATGAAAACATGATTATACAGATTATACAGATTATAGTCACGTTGTCAAGGATTGCTTGATTACATCAGTGTGTAACATTTAAGAGGTTCTATTGTCAGAAATGGAATATAATATTACATTTTCATTTGTGTATAATCTGTCTGCCATATTGAACTGCCATGTTTCTACAGTAGCCTAGTAGCTTTTTGCAGCCACTGTAGTTTTTCCTTTGTGCTTGGAAGGTGAAGCAAGGGTGTTCAACTACACCACTAGATGCCACTAAATCCTACACACTGGACCTTTAAATTTTAAACTAAAATGGGATTGGAGTCAATCTCATGTTACTCCATTGTACAATGTGTTTGAGATCAGAGATGCCACACACATCCACACAGCCTCTGATTGGTTGACGAACTCAACCCAAGGCACTGGCAAACCCATGGGTTGCCGACAGTCCATAACATTAAAGTTCTGTGTGACAAAAACACCACTAAAATATTTGTGCCATTGAATAAAATAACTTCCCTCCTGGGAACCCTACACTCATCTCATTGGTTGGCAGGACTGTGGTCTACATCTCTTAAATAGCCTGGCAACATCTAGGCAACAAACCACCCATAATGCAGCACTAATTTGAATTAACAGGATCAGTCTGCAACATAAGAGCTAGTACTCATTAAACGTCTGTTGTGAATTTATGTTAATGTATTCAGATAAGCTGAACGGTGAATAGACAGACTGGATATGAGCATCAAATCACAACAGAGCGAAGCAGAGTTGGGTCTTACCAGCCACAGATGAGCAGGAGGAGCCCACACCTTGAAGCGATCTGGCCAGAAACAGCAGAGCGTAGCTCGATGAGAAGGCGAACACTTCACAACAGTGACAACGGCAGAAATATAGACAAAGAAGTATCAGGCATGATGCAAGCATTCTGATGTCCTGATAATGAAGACACATTGGCTGGAACTTACTGATTGTAGATAGGAACATGATACAAAAGCCAGCAAATATGGGAAGCTGGTATCCTATTCTAAAGGGACAAAGAGACAAAATGCAGACATTACGTTTATACAGTACGAATATCATTGGTTGAGATGGAAATATACATGAAATAACTGGCATAATTTAAAGGTGTAGTGTGTAACATTTAGGAGCAACATCTATCTGTATTGAACTGCTATGTTTCTACAATAGCTCAGAAGGAACGAACATTGGCTCTAGATAGTGTTTTGCAAACAGCCTAGTTTGTCCTTTACGCTTGGAAGGGGAGGGTGAAGCGAGGAAATTGCAATCTGCAACTACACTGCTAGATGCCACTAAATCCTACACATTGGACCACTGAATTTTTTTTTTCTGCATGGCAGTGAAATCTAAAATTAAATTTAAATGTTCCCCCGAAATTCCACCGGGTACCTGTGGTGTGTGTGTGCGTATGGTGTTTCAGCAGAGAAGTGACTTTAGAGCATGTTGTTACATACATTGTTTACTTGTATATTTTGTCCTTAAAAAGCATACAAACAGTGTGTTTCTCCATTTAAAATCTCCTCCAACCTGCTTTCTGACGACTGACTTCTAGCCTGGATCCACAATGTTGATCTAATGTGAAATTTGTTTTTTTTCAATGAGTCTGCACGCGGTGTTTGAAAATTGGCCGGATTCTCTATGCTGTTTCTGTTACTGACTTCCTGCCTGTCTGATCTGCTCTGCGCTGCTCTGCTACTGGATTCTGGCTTCCGTCAAAAATAAACCAGCTGCAAATTCTCTGTGGAGAAGAGATGCTTCTGGGACACTATGATCAATCCACTGAAACATTGTCTAGAACAGGCACGATCTTCTAGAGGAGTAACTAGAGCGTGTCATGGCTGTGCCTGGTGTAATTTGGGGGTAAATTTTTGAGGAGCAATGCTTCAGCCAGTGAGGGGTGATATTGCTGTGCATATGCAAAAGCATGACAGTGTGAACTCAGTTGTCTTTGTTGGAATATATTGTTGCTATGGTCACCAGGACAGGTATAGAGGATGTAGATTGTCTCCAACTGTGCATGAGGTGTCAAAACAGCAAGTAGCATACTATGTGGTAACAGGGAACATGATAAAAATAAACTGCTTAGAAAAGAAGTGACTTGCAACCCCTGAACACAAAGCCTTTGTAGAAATTCTGTATTTGCAAGCCACATTGTTGACATTTTAACCAAAACACTGGGGGAGGATGACAACATCTTTTTTCATTGAAAGGCTAAAAGCTGCCATGCACATCAGAGCTGCTGTGTTCCCCTGTACATACCTGACATGCTTGACTTCCCTTGTATTGTCCTCTGTCAGGAGGGAAGGTGACTAAGAAGCAGTAATGGGACTGTGTTCTTTGCCTCAATTACAGCATATCTGAGTGGCCATCTGAGACACTAAATACTGGCTTTAAGGTGAGAGCCAGTAATGATGGTGCATTCACACTTCTCGCTCTCCCATAAACTATTATCTCATATTTTGTAAGGAAACTCTTCCAGCTGGCTCTGTTCTCCTAGGTTTTAGTCTTCATCGTTTATGTATTTATTTTTTAACCTATCATCATAATCTTAAATTCTCCTCGAAGAATTTGCCCTACAACTTACTGCTAAATGAAACTTGAATAACCACCATGCGGCCTCCAACCAGTCTAGCTGCAGTTTACAAATGTGGTGAGGACTTTGAATGAGTGACATAAAAAATATAAAATGTATGTTTTGGCTAAATGGCTATTATCACTATAAACATTTTTGAACTGATTAATGGCAGATTATCATAGATGTATTGGATAAACCGGATACACATATACTTGATTACTATGTAAAAATTGATTCTCATACAGTATAGCTATATAAATGTGGAGCATTTGTCTTTCTCCTGCCATTTTTGGACATGACGGCTGAAACTCACTCACTCACTCACTGAATCACCATTCAGCAACCGTCGTGCTCCAATATGTTGTTTGCAGTCAGGTGAAATTCAGAATGAGGCAGGAAGTGAAGAATGGATGAGAAGTAAAGATAAAAGCCCGTACTGTACTACTTATTATTTACTCATTATGACAAAAAACCTATTCTGAAGTCATAATGACCTTTGACCTTTGAGTCAAAAGTGAATTCCAATTTACTGTCTGACTGTTTCAATCTCCCCTTCTGTTCCTGAGTTATGGTGTTGAATAATGGACATCATGATGTCACAGTGAAGTTGGCCTTTGATATTTCAGATAAGAAAATGTTTTCACATAATTGTTGTATCCCGTTAAACACATGTGGGAATTCTGTCATTATTACTGCATTAATTCATCAGTTATGACCAAAAAAATGTGTCATAGTGAATCTAATCAGCTCATCCTTGAGTCCAAGTGGACGGATGAATAGACGGACAACCCGAAAACAAATCGGCCACAACTAGTCATAAAAAGTAAAACTTATGCCCAAATTTTAAAAAGAGATTAAATCTAAAGATAAAGTGCCAGTAACGTATGTTCAGTTCAGTAACTCATCCACTGTCTAGCTATCCATGCATGAAAACAAAAATGCACATGCACACACATAATCAGGAATTCTGCTCTATTTGATTCAGTTGGATTAGATCTGTTGTAGACATACTGCACCCTCAAAACCGCATTAAACTGACATGTTTACCATATGCACCATTTGATTTTCCTCCTGAGAACATGAAATGGATTCTGTTCTTGCTCTTTCTCTTCAATTTGTGTTGGATGTTGACTCAGATAAGGTCATAAATGATATTCTGTATTGACCTCTGACTGGCTTTGCAAACACAAGGGAAAATTCGAACCACAATTTTGGCCCTGGGCTAGCAGGAAGCCTCTTTTGCCTGAAAGGAAACCTGTCATACTATTATACTTTTGCTCTGTCCTTCATCATTCTGCTTTTAATGAAATCATTTCCTCTTCCTCTCTCTGTATCAAATGCCAGATAAGACCATTATTGTAGTTATTCCAAATGTTCCTCACATCAATCAAATAGACCTAAACACAGAAATTACATACTGGAGAGTCATTGAATTTGTTACGATTAACCCTTCTTAAGTCCCGCCCCCTTTTACTCTGTGCTCAGTGGAGCAAGCCTCGGTCAGAATCTAGGTCAACTTTAACTCTATTTTTTTCTCATATTGGCTTACCCTAACATTCTTACCTTTACCCTACCCAATATCTCTCTCCTTATGCCTAAACCTAACCATCCAAACCAATAAAGGCCAAGAGTAGCCTACTAGGCCATGACTTTGCCACCCTAGGAAAATTGATTTGGCTGAAGTACTTAGATATGCTATGTGCTATGCTCTCTATGTTAACCAACCACATTTGGAAGATGGTTAAATAGTAACATATGCATGTAAAGATGTAAAGTCACTGTCACACCTTAAGTTAGCTAGCTAATGTTAGTCAAAAATCTACAAGAATTGTTAGCTAGCCAGTGAGCTACTTTATATCAATTGTTAGTTAGCCAACATTTTGCAAGCATTACATAAGATGTGTTGCTTTTATCTTTTAATCTTCAATATGGAGTTGTCTTTTCAACACAGGTTAGCCTAAGTACAGGAAGGCAGAAAGTTGACAGAGGTTCAGAGCGAGGCTCAACTGTTAATGAAGCACAGAGCAAAAAGGGGTGGGACTTAGGTAGGATCAATAGACAATTTGTGGTAAGTAATCCTTAAGAAAGATCATGATGTAGGTCACTGAAAAAAGTATAAAACAGTAGTGACAGTGAAACTAAGTGTAGCACAGGTTTATTCCTGATTTCTGAGATACAAACTAGAGCAAAAAACAGATTTTTAGGCTGAATGCTCTGAAGGTTTTGTTTTAGATATTAAATACAATTAGAGATGCATAAATCTATGTTAATTCCCTCTTAAAAACTAGGGGACTTTTATTGCTTTTAATTGATGAAGAGTGACATGAAAGGGTGGAGAGAGAGAGAGCGAATGACACGCAGCAAAGGGCCATGGTTCAGACTTGAACCATTAGTAACTACTAGACTTTTTATTAGTTTGTTTGCTGTGAGCCCATCTTTTAAATGTAACTTTAACTACTACTTTCAAAGAACGTAGAGCTCAACAACTGACCGACTGACCATTTGGCAGGAATATAATGGCAACTATTGATAATCATTAAATAATTTAAAGCAATTCTAATCAAATGCACTTTTTTCTAATTCAGAGAATATCTGCTATCTTTCCACTATGTAAAAGGAAAACAATCATGGATCGGACCAAGCCACACAGCAGGACCTTGGCATTCCAGACAGATTAGTGTGTCAGGTAGCGTTAAATCCACTATACCATGGTATTTGTCATGGTATTGGATTTCTACAGAATGACTTAACACACCTTTAAGTCATTTTTCTAGCAAAAATATCAAGCGTTGAATTTTAGTATTTGTTGCTTAGTCTCTTATCTCTTATGTGATAGTAAAGTGAATATATTTGGATTTTGGTTCAACAGAAAACAACAGTTTGATGGCATTGCTTGTTTTTGGGATATGCATACAGACCAAATGATTATTTAACTAGTTAAGAAATGAATTAGTAGATTTTGTTTTATAAATAATAGGGTGAAGCGAGGTAGATGCACCTTGCCTCTACATAGAGTGAGAAAACGAAAACTTACCTGTTTGTGAGTGGCCCTATGAAGGGGTTGGTTATCAGCTGTACGGTGGCCTTGGAGGCAAACAGCATTCCCACTTTGACATTCTCATTGTGCAGCTTCTTGGTGGACTGGGGGCAGCTAGAGGAGTTTTGCGGCAGCTCTGTAGCAGCAAGGGCTGAAGGGACCGGGTCAGTAGACCTGTTAGAGCCTGAAGACCTCACAGTGTTGTCGTATAAGGACACAATGCTGTTGAAGGCTCCTGGGGGACTCTGCTGTGACAAGGTGTTGTTCTTCAACACCACGTCTGTTGACTCGTCCAGGTTGTACAGGTAGCTGGGAATGATGGGGACTGACAGGAATAAAGAGACGAGAGGAGACTGATGACATATGACACAACCACTGGCATGATGCTAATCCAGATGTCACTGCAACATCTTTCAGCAGAGAACAAGGGGGGCTCTTCAAGGGTGATTCAGCAAACACTACCCTAAGGAAAGCAAGAGCCCTTAAAGAAGCCACAGTTTCTTTAACCATTTAAAGATTGGTTGACCATTTCAGATATCAGCCCCTGAAACGTCTGCAGCTAGTCAATACAATGGCTAGCTGCAGTTGCAATAGAATGAAAGCACTGAATATTTACATTTAAATGGATCAAACCACCAATGCCTTCCCAGAAACAATGTCCTGCCTCCTCTAGCCTTCCAACCCTAACCCAAACTGTCAAGTGAGGACTCTCTCACAGACATTTTGAGACCTTTATGCACACTTTCTGTAAGTTTGCATTTTTGCAGACTTTGCCTGAGGGAATTACTAACAGTTTGTACCGCTGTCATTAAACACAGGGTTTGCAGGGGCCCTGAACCTGAAATTGGAAATCACCCTGTTAAAATCAAGCCGTTGGTTACTTCAATATCTTGGTTGTAAGAAAAGTAAAAAGCTTAAAATAAAACATTCCAAACCCCCAACTGTAGGTTACGTAACATGTTTTAGCGTTGTCAAAGTAACATGATACAATAATATAATAATTAAATTTATACATCACTTTTGAAAAACAAAGTTACAAACTGCTTTACATGGTTGAACCAGGATTCAAATATTTCAGGACTGAGGCAACAACATAAGGCAATACATAAAATACAGAAATAAAGTGTAGTAAAACCCCAGACCAAATACAATAGACAAAAGAAAAGATTTTGATCTGTGTGACTGCATGAACTGCCTATATCCAATGTAAACCCTCAGAAAGAGATGGACTCTCCACACTATACAATACCACCAGGTCTCCGGGAGAGCTGCAAACAATTAACTAAAGCTGCAAGCAGCGTTGATCGGCACCTCGCAGTCCACATGTACGGCTGTTTTATGTACCAGGAGAAATACATAAAAGTGTAATACATTCCACTACAAGATGGCGCTACCACTTTTACTGAATTTTATAGATTATAAATAGGGGCTCTTATCAGACACTTGAAGTTTGGTGCCGATTGAATGATGTACACTCAACTTACAGCAAATTCATGTGCGTCCACGTTTGAACGACAACTCACCACATTCATCACATATAATCAACAACATGTTTTGCATTTTCTGACCAAATTTCAGCTGGATATGATCAACCTCTTAGGAGTAGAACAAGTATAAAACTAAAAATAAATATTTCCTATTGCCAGTAGGGGGAGCTATCACTATATCTGAAAATTGACATGTAGATGTGTTCAAGGCGGGACTCTTATCAAATGTGTGAAGTTTCATTGAGATTGGACCATGTACGCTGAAGTTGTGACAACTTCCTGTTTCATGGCAAAATATAAAAATTTTGGTGCCACGCCACAAAAAGCCATTTAAAATGTCTGAATAATAATAATAATTCCTACAGATACAATAGGGCCTTCACACGATTTTGTGCTCAGGCCCTAATAATAATAATAATAATAATAATAATAATAATAAGTAAGAAATCGAGCAAAAACAATAGGGACCTCCAGCGG